TTATTATATTTTCAAAAGGGAGAATCAAACTTCGTTGCCATTCCCTTCTAGTCTGGGTGAACCCTGATAGCCTGTATATCTCTCGATTAGCCTGCTTTGAGAGTCAGCAGGCTCATCCGGTTCATTAGATCTTAAGGTTATGTGCAGGCTAAATTACTTTAAGACCAAACCTTCACTCCATTTCATTCCAAGCCTACTTTGCGCAATATTTTCAAAAGGGAGAATCAAACTTCGTTGCCATTCCCTTCTAGTCTGGGTGAACCCTGATAGCCTGTATATCTCTCGATTAGCCTGCTTTGAGAGTCAGCAGGCTCATCCGGTTCATTAGATCTTAAGGTTATGTGCAGGCTAAATTACTTTAAGACCAAACCTTCACTCCATTTCATTCCAAGCCTACTTTGCGCAACGTCTTTCTTCACAGCGATAAAAACAATCTTGAAAATTTGCACACATTCTGGGTCACGTGGGTTGGCCCACTAGAGGTCGTACAACAATGCGAATGAGGGTAGGAGGATGTCTGTGAGATATGCACATAAAAATGTATATATGTGAGACTTTCTGGCAAGCCACCCCTAAACAAATTGTATTTGTTTATATGGATTTAGGATATATACAAAATTGTTTTTGAATGTTTGTATTCATAAAAGGAAAGCTCACATTTTACTTACTCAGATACCATAGAATGATTGTCCGTAGCTTGAAACATTAACATCAAAACGATCTTTTGCCAGAACCAGTTGATACTTGGAGTAATGGGAGTTGATGTCTCACTAGAAGAAATTAAAAAACTGACACCGCGATTTACAGTAAGTCCCTTTTTTATATAATTTTGCTAGTGTTTTGTTTTGTTTTTTTAAGTTGCCTTTTGGACTGAAATCCATGGAATCTCCCACCCAGTGCAGTCACTGACTTTGGTGAGGGAGGATTCTGGAACCTGTAGTTTTTAAAAAGTAAATGTTTTCCATGTTCTGATTTTTGCCATATTGACAGTTTTAAATGTCTGCTAAAAGTTGCATTGCATTCAAGTCTTTGTTCCAGTCTGTCTTGTATTCCTCTGCCTGGAAGTCAAAAGATTATCTGCCTAATGTTCCTCGTGTCATTTCCCTATTTTCTCCCTGCATGGGTGATACTCAAGGGAGAACACTGCTTTCTCATCAATCCAGGGCTTTCCATGAATTGTCTAGCCTCCTGTAACTGACGTGCAGGCTATGGCTGTATTCCACAGCTTTGAAAGCAGAAGAGCTGAGGGGGCAAATCATTTCCTCCTGCCAAGCCCCTGAGCACAGCTTGAACTGCAAACATGGCTTCACTTCACAGTGAATATGTATCAAGCTTTTCATGGTTACTAAAGTAAAGTTATCCTCACTGTAGATACAACTCAATGTTTGTATGGCCTATACTGCCTCAGAGAATACCTAGCAAATTACAGTGGTGCTTCGCTTGATGACATTAATCCGTTCCAGCGAAATCGCTGTAGAGCGAAATTGTCATCAAGCGGGGGAAAAAACCCTATTGAAACGCATTGAAAACCACTCAATGTGTTCCAATGGGCTAAATACCTAATCGTCCAGTGAAGATCCTCCATAGGGTGGCCATTGTCCAGTGCCTGTCTTGCGAAAAATCCATCCTAAAAACAGCGGGGAGCCATTTTGCACAGCGGGCGGCCATTTTGAGAGCCGCCGATCAGCTGTTTTTAAACCATCCTTAAGCAAAAAATCGGTTCCCGAAGCAGGGAACCAATCATCGTAAACTGATTTTCTCTCATTAGAACATCATTTTGCGATCGCTATAGCGATCACAAAAACCTCATCATCAAGCAGATTCATTGTTTAATGAGGTAATCGTTAAGCGAGGCACCACTGTACTGGGATACCGTATTTTACCGTGTACAAGATGACACTTTTCCCTAAAATAATCAGAGGAATAATTGAGGGTCATCTGATAAACGGAAGGAAGCAGTTGTGCGCGTGCACTCGGGCGCCTCTTGCTGCCACCGCTGTCGCCCAATTGCCTCTTTCAGAGCTCAGGGCTTGTCCCCTCTGTGGCCGAGGCAGCAGCAGCAGCAGCTGGAGGCACAGATGGAAGCGAAGGAGCATTCACACACGCTACGGCGCCTCTTGATGCCTGCCTCCCCGCTGCCCACCCGATCACCACCTCCAGCGAGACTGATGGGCTCAGCTCAGTCTCTGCCTTGTCCCCTCTGGCCCCTCCAGGGAGACAGCAGAAGGCATAGCTGAAGGAACATTCACATGCACTCCGGCGCCTCCAGCTGCTGCCTCTCCCACCCTGCCTGCTCGATCACCGCTGCCTTGTCCCCTCCTGTGGTGGAAGCAGTGGGAGGTGTGCGCTGGGGCGCCTCTTCCTGCCTCCTTAGCAAAGGAAAGGCAGCAACGGCTCCCCTTCCTTTTTTGCTAAACCCAGTGTGCCTGTTGCTAACCTTCTCAAAAGGTGAGGAAAAGCGGCAGTCACTTTGATAGCCACTTTCCTTGCCTTTTGCCAAGGCACGGGGCTTAGCAAAAACGGAGCCCTTTGATCCCTGCTTTTTAAAATTTGG